GTCTGTGTGTGTGTCTGTGCGTGTGTCTGTGTCTGTGTCTTTGTCTGTGTCTGTCTCTGTGTGTGTCTGTCTGTGTCTGTGTCTGCGTCTGCGTCTGCGTCTGGTGTGTGTGTGTGTGTGGTGGGTGTGTGTGCGTGTGTTTTGTTGTTTGTGTGTGTGTGTGTGTGTGTGTTTTTGTTTGTATGTGTTTGTCTATGTTCGAGCTCGCATGCCTTGGCGCGTAAGTCACGTGATCGCAAATCAATGTCTCACTAATGTCTCACTTGCCAGCGTGCTTGCTTCTCACTTACCCATTATTTTCTAGATTGGCACAAAAAGCACGTCACTGCCAGATTTCAGGTAGTTAGACTGTGACATACTCGAGGGATCTCGAGGGACAACCGCAAGCCCAGTCCTCGGTCCCACTGTCGTAGGGTGGTTCGACACTAGACTCCAATTGGGGGCGTCCGTACTTCTGTTGTAGTAGGACACTTGAAGCGAGCCCTAATTCAGAACAGCCACCATGTCCACCCAAAGCCCGACAAAGGTCAGGGCGGCGCTTGGCACGTCGTGTCGGCGGCCTTAGCAATGCCCTTCTTGTGTATTTGGTGCTAAGCAGCTTCAGAGAAGCACACATGGATACGTGTGCAAACATGACTATAGCCGCAGTTGTGCCGTCCAGACCCACAGATTTGTTCACCCTCGGACACTATTCGCAAAAATTTTCACAAACGAGCGCAAACCAAGCAAAAACGTCGCTAGTTGTTTGTGGTTCCGGGTTCTGGGGTTAGTCATTCTGAAGGTAGACCTATCAATGCCTTCAATGTACCCCACCGATCCTCAAGACCCAGAACCCCAAGACACCATTGGCAGAGAGTAGTATATGGTCTAGTAGCGAAGTGTAGCACAGTATGGTATGGTAGAGTACCGAAATCCTCGAAGGTTCTTGGTGATGGACGCGCTCAGTGCCGGCTTGGGCGAGGGCCGGGATGCTGCAGGGAAACCTGGAACATGAGAGGAGAGTTTTGGGTCTATGGGTTCGGAGGCGTTTGGGGCAAGAAGGGTTATGCGCTTATAGGGGCGTTAAGGCTTGATGAGTCTGGGGCTTGAGGCATAAGGCGTAAGGTTTCTGTGCTGCAGCCGTTCATTTGGTTTGGGGTCGAGGGTTTGAATGCGAACTTCGTCGAGATTTCAGAACTTTCAGGACTGCTTTTGTGTTTACGATTTGGTCAATTCCGCTGCGAAGGCTGTGTGCAGTTTCGCTTGTTCTGAGGTCCATCAGCTTAAAACCGATGCTAGGGATTTTCAGGGTCCATCAGCTTGGATGTTAAGCTTCAACTAGGGGATTTACTTCCAATGCATGTACGAAGCTATAAGTAAGTTTGGCATCTGCCAGACCATGCTTTGCGTTCACTAACCCCACCACAAGTTCAGACGTACAATCGCTGCATCCTTCGTCTCCAATCCTGAAGTGAGGTGTCATACGGTACGGCGCTGACAGCTTATGGGAGAGCTCGCAGGCGAGGTGAAGAGCCCGCGACTATGTTCAGCAACGCTAAATCGGAAAAGAGAAGATTCTGTGACACGGCGTAGCAAGAATTTGTCCTGTGCTGCGCAGTGATACGCTATAGTCCATGTACTGAGGTATTTCATGTGGTAGTGGTATATACACCTAGCTGCTGCATCTTATGTGGCGCCCATATTGCAGCACAGCATTTGCACGCATGAACTTCTGTTTAGTCGTCTCGCTTCGCCTGTGCATAGACAGTGAGATGTAGCTACCCTATGGTATACTGGCTTGGGGTATAATGTGCTGCAGGCGCATTACATGCACGAATAGGCTACCGCAGAATACGGCTGCCAGTGACTGACTGACCTGCGCCTATACCGTAAGACTGACTTACAGTATAGGTGAGGGAGAGGGAGAGGGAATATGCTCACATCACGGACGTTGTCTCAAATAACGTTCAAAGATGGCTCGTGCTAATGTTTTCGACTTTATGTTTTCGGACCTCAAATCACTATCAACTATTGCTTTGTGCTGATGTTTTCGAACCTCAATAGCCGAATGTTGATGTGTTCGACAAACCACTACCAGAATGCAGCTTCGTACTGATGCTTTGGACTTCAAATCACGATCAAGCATAGCTTTGTGCTGATGTTTGCGATCCTCTTTTCAGTATCTAGCATAGATTTGTGCTGGTGTTTTTCGGACCGCAAAAGACTATCAAATATGTCTTTGTGCGGATGTTTTCGGACCCCAAACCACTATCAAATATAGCTTTGCGCTTACATTTACATTTTCAATCATGAGTCCCTTCAGCCATTGTAGCTGATGGTTTGACCTGGGGGTTGGGGGGAGCGAGGGGCGTGATCATGCCCATGACCATGCACTATGTACTGTGCAAGAAATTCGGCAGCCGTTGGTGGCATTGCAAGAAATGCCGTGGTGAGGCTTGTGCTGTATAATAAAGGGGACGCGAACTGTTTGGAGTTTTCGACATGATATGGAAGCTTCCTGCACAGTGCACAACTGAAAAGGTTCTGGAAGGAGATGCTGTTCATCGGGGTTTTGCTGTAAAGCAACGCTCCAGGCAGCTGTATGTGAATAGGGGCTACAACTTATAGAATCCACGCATGTCATGTTCTTCGCCCCGCAAGTTTCTTGTAAGATGCGATGTGTAGGTCTTGACTTGTGCGGATGGTTTCGGGTACAGGTCCCAGTGCACGGAAGTCTGAGTCTGTGCATGCGCTGCGCAGTGCTTTGAGCGCCCGTGGGGCTTGATCTGCTGAGTGCAGGAGCGACCAAATTTCCCGTCTTCTCTCAGAAGTTGTGTCTTCCTGGCATTGTTTGGGTCACATGGCTGCTTTTTCTCTCACCCTAATCAGATTGGAAGCTTTAGGTTCAAACGCCTTTAGAAGCCCTCTGCGTAAAGACAAAGTAAGGTTACTAAAGCCAAGACGCTTGGGGATCTGATCGAGATCATGCAAATGCATTCCAGCGTGCCGGGACATAGGTCAAGCTGCTTAAGGCGAGCATAGTGGAGGTCCCATGGCTTTACACTTCAAAGTCTCTACACGGTGCTAGGCGTGCGAATACTGAAGCTTGCGTCGCTTAGGCTTGGCATGGCATTGGCGTTGAGAATTTTGGACCAATCTGCTTCGGTTGCCAGACCTGTACAGCATAAAAGGTAACCGGTAGCTTGCAATGCCGGCTGTCGACTACCACGAGGACCCCAGGATGATTGCTTCTGCAGAGAGGAAGTTGGCCCTTATGGCAGACCTCGAGCGGCCCCTGAACCAGGGCTCACCGCTCGCAGTGGCATTGCTTCAGCCCCGGCCATCACCACCAGTTCCTCCGAGAACGCCGAAGCCCGTGTGCATCAAGCTCCCCAAGCCGCTGTCTCCACGAAGCAAAGAGCAGCTGCAAAGGGCATACTGGCAGCATGTGGCAGCACCTGTGCCCCAAGTAGTGGGGGGACGTCAGGAGATCTCCTGTGACGGCATTACGACCGTCATACCTGGGCGGGCCTGGATTGTTCCTCAGCTCCTCAGCATCGCAGAGTGTGCAGACCTTATCAGCTTGGGTGAGCAGTTCGGACTTGAGCCTCCGAATGCAGCTGCTGGAGTCGCTGGGCTTCGTACCAGCAAGCGAACTGCCAACTACTGCAACCCCGAGCTAGCAGGATTCATCGCAAATCGTTTGCCAGAGTCTCTTCTCGACACCCTCGAAGAGACCAAGCCCCACACCTCGGTGCGTGGCATCCATCCCAACTGGCGGCTAGCACGATACGATGCCGGCGACTACTTTGCAGCTCACTATGATCAGGCTGACTGCCTGACTGTACAAGCCGGAGAAGGCAAGGAACGGTACGACTCGAGTCACACTTTGTTGATTTCACTGAGCAGTCGCTCGGATCTCGAGGGAGGGGCTACACGACTGTGGCCCTCGGGGAGTTACGACGACACGGCTGTGGATGTGGAGCTGTCTCAGGGCTATGCGCTGGTCTTCGAGCACCGCCTGCTCCACGCTGGCCTAGCGATTCAGTCGGGCAGAAAGCACATCGCGCAGGTTGGGATTCTGCGAGGAATGCCACAACGAGTCGGTGGAGCACCCTCCACCTTTCGTTTCGGGCCGGGGCTTGCCTACTGAAGTCTTCGGCACGGGGTCCTGGGCCTGGGCCCAGGCTACGATATGGCCTCTTCTTACTAAGTGGTCGGACGGCATATCTCATGCCAAGCCTACACCACGGAATTGATGAGACCAGACTACAAGCCAAGAGCGAAAGAGCCTGCATCAAGCATAGTTGTCACAACAGGGACACAAAGCTCAAGACAAGAAGCGACTTGAAGCCTGCCGAAGTCCCACACGAGCCGATCAGCAACAGCAATAGTAGTCGTCGCAGACCAGGTACCTAGGCTTTGAACATGAGAGACAGAATAATGTGCAATGAAAAGGCGTCAGGTAGGGTACAGCCCTCGAACCGCATGGCCTGAAAGAAATGCCGCTGAAAAAAATTAATGTAGGGCTGTAACCCGAAATCCGAAACGTTACCGCCAGGCAGGAGGACATTTTACTCACAGAGGTATCCTTCACAGCGGCCCTGACGGCGTGCACCCAAGGAACCTTATAATACCTAGGGCTGCATTTGAGATGTTGGGCACAGGGATTTGAGTACTTAGTGCCACGAAGTTCACAGGATTCGGGTGTTGCAAGCCTTTCAATTGGACACATCATTGCAATCAAGCACCAAGAGCAAGGTCTAGAGAATCCATGTTGAAGCTTCCCCGGGAGGGGGGGAGCCAGGGGTGGTACTGTAAGTTTGGCGAGAAGAGCTGAAACTATATTGCATATTGCTCCCACCCCATGAGCCGTAAACTTCAAGTTGCTATAGCAAGCTTAGGCTACCTGGTAGAGCTCGAAGAGGAAGAGAAGATGGGGAGTGGCATGATGAGTTGTTATTGCCATGGATTGTCAACGCTAGAAGTGTGATGATGTGATGATGCTGGCGAAGGTAATAAGGGTGCAAAGGTTATGGAGGTGAGGTGGAGGAAGAGGTTGAAGAGAAGAAGGGCATTGGTACGGTGTTTGTCATGATGTTGGCGATCAGGTCTGACGAAGCTCACTATGTTCCCTGCAAGGTCGCCTCGTGGACACAGGTGGTGCAGCTGTTGGCTTGCATGGGCAGGCTCATGGTCTGGATGAAATCCTGCACCTCTGCAGCCTAACCCCTCGACACCTGCATCTAAAGTCGTACATACTATGAGGCCCCCGAGCCCCTACCTCGAAGAACTATGCCCCGGATGTCTGTACGTCTACTACTACTACTTCTTCTACTTCTACTAGCCGGCTTCGGCTTCTGCCTCTACTTCTACCACTGCCATACTGCTATACTTGCAGCTACTTCTGCTGCGAAAGTTGAGGGTTTGGTGTGTATGGCCTCGGCTTTGATAGTTCGAGCAGCAGCCGTTTTGACCTCACATACAGGCTGAAACCATACGACGGACTTGGTCATCAAATAGTAAGCACAACACCGGGCTAGTGCATAGATATTCTTCATGCATCGTGTGATGAGAACATGAATGTGTTTAAAAGCAAGAGGCGCAGAGATTGGAAGCGACAGAATTGCCAAATCACCGCGTTGTCCGAATCCCAAACAGACCCTCAATCCAAAGCCCTAAACGCTACACCCTGGAAGCAAGACAAGTTTCGCATCTTGCGCAGGCAAGGTCTGCGGCCTGGCCTATCGCATCTGACTTCGGCTATGTTCTCTTGCACTGCAGGTCCAGAGTTGCAGTTTTGGCTTGGGCTCAAAACGTGGGCCAAAGCGTGGGTTTAAGACGTGTTAATGCTTGGGCTGCAGGGCTTCAGGTGAGAAGCTTCAGTGTGCAGGGCTTGGGGTTGGCGGGTTCGTCCACCGGCTCATCTGCAACCTTCAACACTTAACCTGAAGCACAACCGCAACACATAAGCTGCTTAAACAAAACGGGATAGGGATAAAAAATGAGAAGGATCAAGAATAAATAAAAGCGGATCAATTTAAAGATAATGAAGGATCAAGAACAAAATAAAAGCTCAATCAAGGGCCAGGGGCTTGTGGGTTTCCTGGTCGTCTGGTCCCCTGGTCCTTTGGTCTTACAAGTATTAGTATTTCTTGTACTACTACTTGTACTACTACTACT